AAAACTTAATTTCTGATTAGTAATATGCTTTGCTAAGTACATCATTTGGACAACTTTAAAGGCGATTTTTTTTGCACTCTCAGATTCCAGATATTCAAAGCTGGGTTAATGACCTGTCCACCCCAGAGGACCTGAAGAGCAGAGACACCAGCTTACTCACAGCCGAACAGGAAAGGTGGGAATATATTTCATTTATTCATGACAATATTTGTAAAACCATTTAAATGAATCCGTAAGACCTAGCTGGTTTTACAGGTACGAAAAGTACAAAAGCTGTCACTGGGGTGGTACCTTTTCAAAACGTACACTTTTGTAGTGTATTTACAAATGGGTTTGTTTCAAAGCAAACTAAATAGACTGTACTACATACTTACATTTTCAATAGCTACAATGCCACCCTTTCGAACAAGCTGGAGTGACTTTTCATAGTATGTTTCATAATTCTTCTTGTCAGGGTCAATGAACACAAAATCAAATGTTCCAGCTTCACCAGCAGTTAGGAGTTCATCTGTAAAGACACAAGGATGAATACATAAAAAATTATATATTACAATTGTTTTTCATCTTTACCCAAGGTTTCAGCTGCAGGTTTAATGCGAATATCTATGTTATCCTCCACTCCAGCCTAAAACAAAAAGTGCTGGAAGTTACTTGTTCTAATTTTACATTGTAAATCCCTAGTGAACAACAAAACATTTTTATCTTTGCTTTCCCCAGACATATAGGTTGTTATTTTAATGTCATATTATAAAACTATAGGATACAAAGAGAAAATTGTAGACAAAGCACTTTGATGTTTAGCTTTGTGTAAATATCAGCACCCAGGTGTACATTCACATCTGTCTCTATCAGCAATCAGTGTAGAGTCTGATGGACATTTCTGCATCTCTGCCTTCAGTCGCTACTGGTCAGCTGGGCTTTATACTGATGACTGTGTTCTTACCGTGGCAGGCAGTAATCAATATCGAAATTGAGACATGTGTAGGTGTATGTGTATGTGGAGGAGCAACTTAACAGATACAGTGTCCTAATAAAACAAATTACTCCAACTGCATAAACATGCACAGAATACTTTTACAAACTTGTTTTGCCTTGGTTTACCTCCTTTAAAAATGGCTTGCTTATATTCACGTATTCCTCATTAATTTCGCAGGCCACCACGAGTCCATTCTCAGGAACTACCAGAGCCAGATTTAAGGCGTTATATCCTGTGCACATTCCTAAGACAGATGCAAAATGTGTTTTACAGGTAAGGAGTGAAAAGCAAACACATGATTTTCATGATTTATGTGGCTTTCACTCACCAATCTCAATAGGTTTATTGACTTCTATGAGTTTTGCAAGGTTAGCTATAAACTGAGCCTGCTCAGCTGCCACCATCATCAGGTTTTTGGGATCCTCCATAGTTCTCTTAAAGGGGTCATATGATGCGATTTCAATTTTTCCGTTCTCTT